GGGAGTCCCTGCCCTTGTGGAGCTCACACTCTATTAGGGAAGACCAAGGACAAAGCAGGGAAGGAAAGAAAAGAAGTAGAGTAACAGGTAGTGATTGTACCATAAAAACCCATAATGAAGGCTGAGGGGTGGGGCGTGCCCCTTTAGAGGGACATGTTCAGGGAATCCACCTTCCCAGGGCCCTCAGTCTTCCCAGCACACATGGTTGAGGGCCTCTCTGGGTATCAGCACCAGAAAGGGCCCCATGGTGCTGCCAGTGGGCCCCCAACCTCTGCCCTGGAGTGATGGGGATGGGCCACCCTTCATCCCGTGCTGATGTCACCATCATTGGGATCACTCAAAGGGAACGTTGGCTGGATCAGAAGCTCTCAAGAGTGGCTCCGGGGGGGGGGCATACCTGGCTCTCCTCCAGCACCCCTTCCATCCTGCTGAGTCTTGAATATTCAGGACTGTCCTTTCCTGGCTCCCAGGATCACATTGACCCACCTCCAGGCCCTTAGATCATTTGCATTGAACCCTGTGCCATCGAATCTTATTAGTTCCCCTTCTTCACTGCAAGGGGTCCCTTCTTCTCTGGCTTACACATCCCTGGCTGGCTGGGTGGGAAGCACTCAGTGTCACTTCTGCAACAGTGGCAGACCTTCCCCAGGGAATGCTCTGCTCTATAGAGTAAACAGAAAGTAACAATTTTGTAAATATTAGTGGTTTCTTTCTTACATACTATAATATTTTTCAAATGAGGGAGGAATCAATAAATCACTTTTGACTTAAGATATGAGTTCAAGATATAATTGTAAAATTGATTTTTATGACCCATCCTTACTGTCTCATTATATATTCCCTAAATATACATAATTTTCTGCATCTTCAGTCATCATTTGTCAAAAGATAATATTGTTGTTTTCCTCTATTCTTATAAAAGGGAAAAGAGGAATCAGACTCTTCAGAAACTTCGGGGTTGCAGCGACATTTTAAGTCTAAAAGAAAAATCTCCCATCTTCCTTTGAATCAGAGCAAATTTTCCCCCTTTGCAATCTCTATACAGTGGATGCAAGATTTCTCTGGGAGGAAAAGGATTTGGGACTGTAACCACCTTATGAAAAATGACAATTCCTAGTGCCATAGGTGTTACTAAAGCACAGATGTTATTTGATGTTATTGGTACTAAAGCGCTTATTGCCGTTAGCACAGGAGCTGGACCATTTGCATTCCTGGTCTGCTGTCTCATGTGATAACATTAATTAAACTTTGTAAAGTATCCACTTGAGCCACAGGAAGCTCCTACCCTTCCCAATAGTTCTACCCCTTAGTATTCTCTGAAGAAAGAGCCGCAATGTAGGCTGAAATGCAAATGGCTACCCGATGCAGTAGGAAACAGTTCCACTTATCCCCTGTATTATTTGGATTAAAAAGGATGGCCCCCAAATATTCCCTGGACATTGGTGCACTCAAAATTTCTGCTTTGGCATTGGTGGCAAATCTGAGATAGAAGAAAACAATTCTTGGCTTTAGGTCACCCCATCAGTCCAACAAGGCTTGAAAGCCAGAGCCAGCATACTGTCCTCCCAGGTGGAGGTGTGATTGGGGGTCTCCAGGTGGAACCTGCTTAATCTGTAGAAAAATTAAGAAAAGTCGCTTAAGGACCTGCAAAGGAAATATCATGTACCCAGATGCACCTGAAATAAGTGCTGATTTTCATCTATCTCTCTATCTATCTATTACCTATCAATTATCTTTCTATCATCTATCTATTATCTCTCATCAATCTATCAACATCCATCCATCTATCAGTATCCATCTCTCTATCATCTATATTTATCTGTCATCTGTCTATATATCTATCATCTATCTATATACCTGTCAATCATCTATCAGTATCTATCTCTCCATCTATCTATCTATCTATCTATCTGGGGGGAGGTCAGAGAGAGGGAGGAAGGAAAGAGATGACAATAGAGGAAGCAGGAGAGGGTGAGTAACCCCATTGTCCTCCACCCCCTCTGTTGGGGCTGTGGCCTGGTTGTTATGAAGCAAAGTCACTGGGAAAGGAAGAGGATGAACCACACTTATATTAGATGACGAGCTCAGGCTGCCTGGTGCTGTCAGTCTCCCTGGCTAAGGATTTCTTTTCTGCCTCAAATTGCCCCTGATTCTCCTGTCCATGCTCAGACTCCCCTGCTCCAGGTCCAAGCCAGGGTGGCAGTGAGGCTCTTGGCCCACATCCCAGGAGAGGTTGGAACTAACTCCAGGGCCTTATTTGTCACTTCACCTATAGACAGAGAGTTGGATCCCAACTCTTGCTGCACCTGAGAATATTTTTTTAAAGGGTGGATGTCTGGTTTTCCCCCAGGGACACAGATTTGTCTAACTCGATTTTATTCTCAGGAGGGCCCCTCCCATGGGGCTGGGAAAGGAAAGCCCAGAGTTTGCAGTGTGGCCATCATATCCTTATTTAAAAAAAGAAAGCAAAAGAAAAAGGATGCCTTTGCTGATTCTGATGTTTACCCTTCAACAAACTGGAGAAGTTTTAAAGATATTTCCCTTGCTCTCCCCCCCCCCGGTTTTTTTTTTTGTTGTTGTTGTTGTTTGTTTGTGTTTTTTTGTGTGTATGTGTGTGTGTGTGTGTATGTATGTGTGTGAATTGATTCATTCACCTTTAGCTCCCTCCAATAAGTGAAAACATGTGGTATTTCTTTTTCTCTGCCTGACTCGTTTCACTTAATATTATTCTTTCAAGGTCCATCCATGTTGTTGCAAATGGCAGTATTTCATTCGTTTTTATAGCTGAGTAGTATTCCATTGTGTAGATATACCACATTTTCCATATCCACTCATCCGATGATGGACATTTGGGCTGATTCCAGCTCTTGGCTATTGTGAAGAGTGCTGCAATGAACATTGGGAAACAAGTATACCTTCGACTTGATGATTTCCATTCCTTTGGATATATTCCCAGCAGTGAGATAGCTGGTAAACATTGGTTGAAAGCCTATTACACGTCTGTCTCTGCACATATATCGATAGATAAAACTCACCCATCCCTCAAAGGGAGGCAGAAATGTAAATTAAAATTTACAATACAATGAAATCTTTCTTACTCAGTGTTCCTGTAACTTTTTTTTTTTTTTTAATTTTTTATTTTGTCAATATACAATGTATATGATTATTATGGCCCTTCACCGACACCTCCCGCCCTCCTCCCTCTCTCCCATTCCCCCAAGAATGTCCTTTCCGTTTGTTTGTTGTAACAACTACAAAAAAAGTATAGTTGTTATATCTTCTTCCCCACCCCACCCCCGGTATTTTTTGGTGTGTTTTTGGGTAAATTAATTTGTTTATTTTTTTAGCTCCCACCAATAAGTGAGAACATGTGGTATTTCTTTTTCTCTGCCTGACTCGTTTCACTCAATATTATTCTCTCAAGGTCCATCCATGTTGTTGCAAATGGCAGTATTTCATTCGTTTTTATAGCTGAGTAGTATTCCATTGTGTAGATATACCACATTTTCCGTATCCACTCATCCGATGATGGACATTTGGGCTGATTCCAGCTCTTGGCTATTGTGAAGAGAGCTGCACTGAACATTGGGAAACAGGTATACCTTCGACTTGATGATTTCCATTCCTTTGGGTATATTCCCAGCAGTGGGATAGCTGGGTCATATGATAGATCTATCTTCAACTGTTTGAGGAACCTCCAAACCATTTTCCATAGGGGTTGCACCATTTTGCATTCCAACCAACAATGTATGAGAGTTCCTTTTTCTCCACAACCATGCCAGCATTTATCTTTTTGCGTCTTTTGGATATTAGCCATCCTAACTGGGGTGAGATGGTATCTCAGTGTGGTTTTGATTTGCATTTCCCGGATGCTGAGTGATGTTGAGCATTTTTTCATATGACTGTTGGCCATTTGTATATCTTCTTTAGAAAAATGCCTGCTTAGCTCTTTTGCCCATTTTTTGATTTAACTTTTTTTTTTTTGAAGTTCTTACAACAAGAAAATGGAGGGGACACACCTGGGTAGGAGGGGGTGAGGGAGGAGGTAGGGAGGTTTCGGTGATGGGACACAATAAATAACTACATTGTATATTGACAAAATAAAAAAAAAATCTGTTCACAAACGAGCTGTGTTAATGATCACCCTTTTTGACTTTGCCAAAATTAAACAGTACACCACCATCAAAATAAATAAATAAATAAGATTTTTCCCTTCAGTGACTGGAGGACTTTCTATGTATTTGTTTTTCCTACTTGGCTAGAAGTTGCCCAGGCTCAGTGAGGTACACAGCACAGAGGGAAAGTCAGCTCCAATCTTCACTTTGCTCCGGCTTTTGTCCTATTTCCAAGGATCATTTACAGTGTGAATTGGTTAAATCCTTCCTCCTTAGCGAACAAATTTCTAAGCCTACCTTGGAGGAACAAGATGTAAGATTTGTGAAAGTTCAGTCCAACTGCAGAGGTCAAATGGTGTCTTTCGGTCTTGATGATGATAAAAACTGAAGTCCTGAATACAATAAGCAAATCTCATTGGCAATAGAAGTATACAGAGAAACTCACTGTATTACTTTAACTCTTAGCTGTTGTGAATATCATATACCATTGGGTTAATACCTTTAGCAATATTTAAATTGTATCTACATGAGATATCAGGAGAACTAAGGGCACAGCTAATATTTTTAAATCTTTATGTAAACTATGGCCATTGGGAACAGAAACTAATGTACAGAAAATATATGAAGTGTTGAGACTGTGTCCTTGAGTTTCATGTCCTTTGTGGGCACAGAGTTCAGGAAGCCAGAAGACAGCGGATTCTGAACTTGTGGAATGTCTCCACTGGATTGCACTCTGCACACTAGGTCTGCAGTGTCTGGGGGTGGTGATTGAGCTCGGAGTGCACGCCCCATGGTGGACCGCTGGCTTTGCACATCTAGTGCTGCTGTCTGCTTCCCTGTTTGCAGCTTGGTGACTGCCTTGTGTTTGTGTTTTTCTTGCTACAGATGGGCAGAAGAAAGTTCAAGAGGAATTTGATATCGATATGGATGCACCAGAGACATAACGTGCAGCTATGGCCATTCAGTCTCAGTTCAGAAAATTCCAGAAGGAAAAGGCTGGGTCTCAGTCCTAGTGGGAGAGCCCCTCCCTAGCTCACCTGAAGACACCCAATTCAACCATCATCTGTCAAGAAATTAAAAGAACAACACCTAAAGATAAGTTATCCACACACGATACACTCACATGCAGCAAACCTAAAATGCATGTACAGAAGCCCATGATATTTATATCCTCGTAGGAAGTTGTAGACAGTGAAATTGTGTGTAGCTTAATCTCCCTGTTTAGCTCCTTTATCTTTCCTCCTGCAACCATCTTCCTTGATGTTGTAGTAAAATGGAGTTGAGATGAGGGATTCACGTGTCTGTCTGCGTCTCTTTCTTTACATCAATCTGGGAAGTTACCCAGTGTTCGAGGTGACTACAGGCCAGATGTCTGTTTTCTTCTTCTCTCAAGAGTTGGAGATGTTAACACGGTGCCTTCTGTTAGCTTTTGTGCTGGGAATGAGTGATCCCTTCTCAGCCACGCCTGTCTCATTTGGAGAGCACCAACCGCTGCCTGCTGATAACGATATATCATCCTGTGGTGACAAAGCATCAGAAGTTTCACTGGGGAATTATGACTCATTTGGGAGAACAAAAAGGAGATGGGGACACACCTGTGTTTGGAATGTCACCCAGATTGACTCAGCAGGCCTATTTCAGATCTCTGAAGGGGACGCCCCATACTGTTGGGGGCCGTTCTGCCTCTCACCTGCAGTTCTCTGCACCTGTGAGGCTCCAGGACGCAGGTGCGTTCTCTAGTCTCCCCACCTCCTCTATACTCCACACCGTGATTTGCCACCTATAAGGGTTATTTATCACAACCTGTAATTTGGAGAAGCTGTCTGGCTTCCCTCCCACCCCATCTTTTCCCCTGCAAACTTCACAAGTAAATTGCTTCACACACCCCAAATAGGTTCCATAGGCAGTGAGGAGAGGTCTTTACATGGAGAGGACAGCTCCAGAGTCAAGAGCCGTCAGCTGGGCATGTGCCTGACTTGGGGCCACAGGCGGCAAGAATCCCTGACCCCTAAGTTGCTCATGGCCATTGTTTGAGCATTGCCAGGTGAGAGCCTGATGTAGAAGTTGCATCTCTTCAACATTCTGAGGTGGCCCGTGACAGCACCATGTATACCGTGGGGCGTGGCATTCCTTCCCTTGCTGGTTCCAGCCAAAGATCAAGGTGGGAGTGAAGATGGTGGGAAAAGGAAGGAGGAATGGTGATGCGTGTGCATGTGTGTGTGTGCACACGTGTGCCTGGGTGTGTGAGCATAATGTGTGATGGAAGCAAGGCATGGGCAGGGCAGTGACCGGGGGTGGAGGTGACGTGGTTCCTCTGGCAGGGCCAGATTTGTTGTCACAATGGCAGCAGCAGAGAAAGATCGGTGCACTTGAGAGATTTACTGTCTCAAGACATCCCTCTGAAAATGTATTTATTGTCCTGTGTAAGAAAATCCCTTCCTGCCAGATGACTCCCTGTGGCTTTTAGGGACAGGGGAAACTCGTGGGTTTCTCTGGTCGATTTCCAATCATCAGAGAGATAAATAGGCTCACTTCAGCACAACCAGCCAGCGCTGGCTCTGTGAGGCTCTTGATGGTGTAGTTCCCACTGAAAAGAGGACAGCAGAGTGAAGAACTTCCTGAGACAGCGTGGACACAAATGCCACAGAAATTAGGTGGATCACAATGTCATCTTCTTTGGAGTTCCCAAAGCTACCAGTGTAAAATAAGCTGGGGACAAAACAACTGCATACACAGCTCAGGTGAATTCCACCACATCCTGTCTTTCCAGCACCCTATTGTTCCCTCATCCTCTCAACATTTCACATAAAGTGGTGGGGTCTCTTCTTACTGGGTGTGCTCTGGTCCTGATGGCCAGCGGGGGCTTTCCTAGCTCTGACTCCTCTGGAAGCTAATCTGGTTGATAACCAGGATGCTCCCTCTAGAAGGGTTCTGCATACAAAGCAGAAAATCCTGATGCAGTGCTTCTTCCCCAGCATTCCCGAGGGACTTGGGAGCACCCCTTCAGTAACAATGGCCCCCGGGAGGCAGGAGGATGAGAGTGGGTGGGGTGGGGTGTGACATCGGGAGAGGCCCCTTCACAATATGCCTCTCCCATAATGATCACAGGACATGGGAATAACTGGCTTGGTTTAAGCCATGGGATGAATTTAATTTTTCACCTCCCAGGTGGATTTTTGAGGGTCTAAAACTCCAGCAAACAGCAGGGGAAAGACTCCAATTGAACCCCCGTCAGTATGGGAATTGGGCATGCTGAGTTTATGGCCATTTGGAGCCAGGAGGAGGAAAAGTGGCTTCTGGTTCC